ATACCAAGCTTTCTCACATGACCCTTCAGGAGAAGGAGTTGTCTACTACAAGTTATTGAAGGTTTTGGCGGTGGATTGTTGTCGCTATTCAAGCTCATGCTCCTGCCCGAGCTGGTTATCCTGACAGAAAATGTGCCCTTAGTGTTGAAGTACGTGAACGTCCGATCGGGATTGAATTTCACTCTGAGGCGACCAGTCATGGAATCACTAGAGTTTTCGACCGAAGGCTTAGACAACATTTGCAATACAGGGTGCCCTGTATTGCAAAAGCTGATCTGGGTGATCTGTCGGTTTTCGACTTTAGTGGTGCATCTCCAGCAACTAGGGCATTGAAGACACGCGATGCACAAATGCTCGCCAAACATGTAGTATTGGAAGACTTCGACAACCAGGACCTCCCGATCATTGTGGAAATCCCAAGTTAGCCATGTATCGCAATCCTAGAGCAGACGGTTCAGGAATCTCAGGGCAAATGAATGTCTGATATCTGAATTGATTTGCCTGCGCGACATAATCCTGGATTTGAGGATGTCTTCAGGGTATTGTTTCAGAATGATCCTCCCGTAGCTGTCGAACTTCTGCGGGTTCGCTGCGTAAATAATTCATTTGCACTGGAGAATAGCGCCGCTCCTTGCCAGTGGTCAGATAGTGTAGCGACCTTGCCCTCTTGGTGGAGCAGCTATTCTTGGCGGTCTTGCTCGAGCACACGCATAAAGTCGCCCAGCATACGACCAACTCTGGAATCGGCGTCCAAAACTCCATGCCAACTCGGAAAGGCAGCTACCAACAAATATTCTTGAGGTCAAACATAGTGATCCGTCGCTTCGAGAACTGATCTATGCAGCCATCCACGGGCATCACAAAGGGACACGATTCCGTACATCGTAGGGTATTGATCGGCGTCAAGTACTTTTCGTTCTCGCGCACATAAGGCAATCCCTCGAAGTTCGGAGGTTGTGGGATGGCTGGAAGGTTCCACTCTTGATCGTGGCCATACCCGTAGTCACTACCCAAGTCGACGTCGTTCATGAGATAGTTGCTTGAACCTGCGGTAAAATCTTCAGCCTCTTCGGCTGCTACAGCTGCTCCATCGACCGCAGCTGCCATTCCGGAGTCTTCCACGGATGTCACCGGCGCCTGTTCATCGTTTTGCGCAGGGGTAGACTCGTACCCACTAAGCGGTGGTTGCCACGCGTCAACTGGGCGAGGCTGCCGTGTTCTGTGAGAACGTAAGGGATTTGCCACGTCGCGTCGTTCCTGGCGGCGCCCACGTAAGTGTTCATCACGGTTACGCGATCGCAAGCGTTCTCCATCAGGCGAGTCATCACGAGGCAGCTCCGAGTATTGTTGCTGTTAAACATGATAACAGGTGGAAAAATAAACAGGCTATTGCATCTCATTCCGAGTCCAACCTCGTCGATTCATCGTCGTGGCTCCACCTACTGCCTTGACTTCGCAAGGACCGGACGTTAAGGTTATGGTGCCGAGGTAATTGAGACTCAGCGACGAAGAGGGTGCTCAGAGCCGAAATCCCTGCATCATGGGAGTAGTCGTGGGGATGTTATCGTGAAGATCTGAGGGGATGAAGCTGACTGATACAAGGTCTAGCCATTTTACGCCAAGAGTGTTCGTATATAAGGACGTTGTCTGTAATTGGCAGGTAGTGAACGGGGAATTTGTACACCGCAAAGACTTCCATCCAACAAGCCATGCGAGCTGACATGTAGGGTGTTTTGACGGCACTGAATCAAGACGACGCAACAGTCGCAATTGCGCTGCAGAAGGCGCGTCGAAGAGCCGCCAAACGTTTGGGAGGAAAGAGCGACCGGAGGTGTCGCATCTCGATGCGACAGCGGTGTCAACCTGTCGACCGGACACTGGAGTGCAACTGTTAGGGTGAAGTTGCTGACGTAGGAT